TGTGGTCTCTGAACTTGTTCAGAGTCTTGGGCTTCAGATGATTGACTTTCTCCAGAGCTTTGACCAACTTCAGGATCTGGCATATTTCCAGAGTCTTGAACTTCAGAATTTCTAGCTTCAGAGGCTTGACTTCCTCCAGAGCCTTGTCCATCTTCAGAGTCTGAATTTCCACCAGAATCTGAATTACCATCAGAGTCTGGATCATCAGAGTCACCTTCATCTTCTGAGTCTTCTCCAGAGTCAGAATCACTATCAGAGTCAGAATCAACGTCAGAGTTTACTTCAACTTCAGAAATTCTTAACACTGACCTTTCTTCAGAAGTTCTAACATCAGAATCAGATTGAGACTTATCCCAATTCCAAACTTCTGATTCCTTCACAATCACATCTTTGTTGAATTCAATTTTGTTGGTTTCTGGACAATAGAGCTTGTATGCACCTGTACTGTGGTACCCTATCAGAATCATCACTTTGCTTCTATCATCCAGCTTCTGTCTTCTGGCTTCTGGAACATGTTTATAGCAAACAGAACCAAACACCTTCAGATGACTAACACTTTGCTTGTCTCCAGTCCACTTCTGCATAGGAACTATTTCCTTCAACTTCTTCGTAGGACATCTGTTGAGTACATACGTTGCAGTGGCAACAGCTTCTCCCCAGAGCTTCTGAGGAAGCTTCTTCTCCTTTAGCATGCTTCTCACCATATCAAGCAAAGTACGGTTTCTTCTTTCAGCAAGACCATTGTGTTGAGGGGTATAAGGAGCAGTAACCTCATGCTCAATTCCATTCTCCTCACAGAACTTCTGGAACTCTTTGGAGTTATACTCACCTCCACCATCAGTTCTAAGAATCTTCAACTTCTGACCACTCTGATTCTCAGCCTTCATTCTGAATTTCTTGAATTCATCAAACACCTCGTGTTTGAACTTAATAAGGGATACCCATGTCATTCTTGTGAATTCATCAACAAATAACACAAAGTATTTATTCCCTCCAATTGATGCTATTGGAAATGGACCACACACATCAGAATGTACAACTCCCAAGGCATGTTTTGCTCTTGGAGCAACTTCTGACGCAAATGGCAAACGTGGTTGTTTTCCTTCCATGCAAACTTTGCATGACTTCTCAGACTTCTTAATTGCAGGAATTCCATGTACCAACTTCTTTGAATTCAGATGTTTTAGGCTTCTGAAATTCAAATGACCAAATCTTCTGTGCCACAGCTCACTCTCCTTCTCAGCACATGTTGCACTAAGACATTCTTAGTCTGCAGTTCTGACATTCACCTTGAATGTTCTATTCCTTCCCTGTTCTGACTCCATAATCAACTTCTGATTGCAGTCATACAACTTCAGAAGATTGTCCTTCATGGTAACTGAAAAACCTTTCTCAATTAATTGTCCCACACTCATCAGATTGCTTCTGATGCCAGGTACATACCACACGTTCTGAATCAATGCTGTTTTCCCATTGTTCAGAGTCACTCTGATATTTCCCATACCTTCTGCATTAAGATATTTGTCATCAGCACATCTGATCTTTGTCCTCTTTTCAGAATCAAAGTCAATCAGCCATTTCTTGTTTCCAGTAAGATGATTTGAACAGCCAGTGTCCATATACCACCAGTCTGTCAGATCATCAGATTCAAAGGCCATCAACAGCACAGATTCGTCATCAGAGCCTCTGGCTATATTTACTTCTTCTGATTTCTTCTCCTTGTTTGACCAACAATCTCTAGCAAAATGGCCAAACTTCTTACAACAGTAACATTGTATTTTTCTTTTGTCATACTTCTCTTTTTCCTTCTGAGCATTCTTTTGTCTATCAGAGGTTGAGGTTTCTGACTTCTGACCACCATCAGATCTTCTCTTGACTTCTGACTGCTTCTGATACCTCCTATCAGAAGTTGCTTTCAGAGCCTGCTGCTCTACTTCCCTTTCAGAAGTTCTCTCAGTCAAACGCAACTCTTGCGCTTCTAAACTGCTCTGCAGCTCTTCAATTCTCATGGTACTCAGATCTTTGGAATGTTCTATTGCTACCACAATGTAATCAAATTGAGAGGTAAGGGATCTCAATACCTTCTCCATGATTGTTTCTTCAGAAAGAGTTTCTCCACACGCCTTCATCTCATTAGTGATCAGAATCACTCTGGAGATGTATTCAGAAACTTTCTCATTATTCTTCATGTTGAGATTTTCATATTGCTTTCTCAAGGACTGAAGCTTCACCTTCTTCACTGATGCGTCACCACCATAACATCTAACCAGTGTGTCCCACGCAGCCTTTGCTGTCGTTGAATCTGCAATCTTCTCAAACACATTTACATCAACACATTGATGAATAAAGAATAATGCTTTCTGATCCTTCTTCCTTACTTCCTTCTGCGCGTTTTTCTGTTCATCTGTTGCATCTGCTGCTACTGGAACATAACCATCAGTGACAAGATCTAAAACATCTTGAGCACCAAACAGTACACGCATTTGGATCATCCAACGATTCCAGTTTTTACCGTCAAATACTGGAAGCTTGGTGTTCGTGTTGCCGTTTCCGTTCATCTTCACCTTGCACAGTACACTCAATGTTTCTCACACAGTGTTTCCCAACCCACAGAATAAAATTCTGATCAGATTTTGTTCAAGATTCAACACGAATCTAAGAATCAAAATCAAACACACAAGACCTCACGTTCACTCGTGTTTCCCGTGTTTCCCAATGAATCCGAACCGGAGCTCTAGATACCAATTGTTGGTGCAAAGGTAGAATAAATGATGAAAAGGAGAAATATTCTATTAAGAATTGACGGCTACAAAACATGATAATAGTTACAATGATTGTCACTCTATTTATAAGCTAAAACTAGAGTTACTAAAATAAGATAAAATACTAAAATACCCTCTAACAAACTTAGGGGCTAAAAAAATAGTATAACTAAATAAATATGAATTACTATTAATATTCTAATAAATTCCTCATATTTGATAGACGATTTCCATAGTAAAAATATTATTTTATACAATATTATTTTTTTATTTTTAATATAATATAATTTATAATTTCTTTGATATTTAACCGTAATGTCTGAATCCGTAGACCTACAATGATTTTCACATAAGCCTTCAAGATTTCTGTGATTGGGAAGGTGGTTTTAAAATAAATGTGCCTACCAAGGTTAGTAACGAAGAGGATACATCTCTTTGGCATGACTCTAAGTGACAGAGGGTTCCTTTGAAAAAGGACTAGTAATTTATTTTGTTTATTTTATAATTTATAATAGTTTATCTATGGTTGCTCATCCCTAACTAAGCATGAAAACTGATTAAGATTCCTGTTAAGTTTCTCTGTTAAGGAACATGTTTCTAATATGAAAAGTGATTAAAAGATGTCTTCGTTTTGGTATATAAAAGCACAAGTGTCATCGATCCAACTAGAGCGCCTGGAGCTTGTAAAAGTACAACAACATAAAAGCGACACAACATCTAACACTTCTCGAAGATCCTAGTACCTGGCAGACTCTAGTGCTTAGAGCTGCATAAATGTTCTTTTTTCACCTATTTGTATTTTGAATTGAATTTAGGTGTCTGCATAAAAATTAAAGAAATAAATTTTAACTTTCATTTTCATAAAACTTTATATTTTTACAACTAAATATATATAAAGAAAAACAACAATATGCTAAACCTATTAAACAAAATACGCCAAATTTTTGGTTAATCAAAAAAAAAAAAACAGTCAATTTCAGGTAACAATTGAATTTATCAACTGTTAACAGTTATTTTGTCAATGGTCAATAATTAATTTGGCGAGGGTTGACAAATAACTCGCTCAACGCTTGAATCGGTTGACTCAGTAACCAATCTATTGGTTGAATGGTCAACGATTTTATGGGCCTATGGTTGATTTGAGTTGGTTTGCGAATCAGATTTGGATAGCCGATACGGAAAAGAAGTAATAGTCCTAGTTAGACAGACTCAGTAACCAATCTATTGGTTGAATGGTCAACGATTTTATGGGTCTATAGCTGATTTGAGTTGGTTTGCGAATCAGATTTGGATAGCCGATACGGAAAAGAAGTAATAGTCCTAGTTAGACAGACAATACTATAAACTCCTTAGAATTTTTAGAATTTTGAAGACATTTGAAATTATCTAGGGATTGGAAATCACTATATAAAAAGTCAAAGAGATTATGAGACATATTTGTTTAAGTTGTTTGGCAGATTAATTTTTGCTTGAGGTGATTTAATTTAGTTATCTTTGTTTTTTGTTTTACAAATCATTATTCTTGACGTAATTTATTGTTAGATTTTCACATCAAGAAGGTCTTGATGTGGTTAACTTTTTCAATTTCACCGCCCACCGAGAAGGTTACAAATGTAATTAAATGAGATATACAAAATCATATAAATGTGTATTAATATCCATAAATATGAATAGAGACTACTCTAATTGATAGATCATTTTTACTATTAGGAATCAATCCATTATGCACCAAATCACAAGTTGATTGAAATTGTAACTTAGAGTTAGAGATGAACCTTCCGTCACAAATTTCTTTCATCCAGCAAAGTTCCACCCACATACTCGTGATCAATCATAACTAGTTTCACTACAACTATAACCTTTTTCATGTGGTCCAATACACTACTACATGGCAAACAGTTTTATTAAAACATCATTCCACAATTGTAGATAACATTAAAGTGATGGAAAAAACAACCCAATTGTAGAACAAAAAGAAAACTGGCATTCAGCAGTTTTGCTTTGGAACTTTCCCATAGTGAAAAAATCTACTTTTTATGCCAAATTCAGATTGCAACATTAATGAATATAAATAACATAAACGTCCCAAATGTATCAGTTTATCAATGATTAGAATGCTAATAGCCCCTAAAAAAATAAAATAACTTTTGTAGTATTTTCTAAGAGAAAAGTGACATTTCGAGAAAAGTAGTAGTTTGTTAGCAAGGACCATCAATGTGAAGAAGTTGTTTTTTCCTTCTAAGCTCCAAAACCTTGTAGAGAAGCCAGCCATTGTTCCATGTAATTCTTCCCATCTGCGTAAACAATTAGAATTTCAAAATTATTACTATATACTATTGGATAACATATAACTTATATAGTATCTTAAAAGGTTTAAGGGTAGATAGTGCTGCATATCGAGCCATAGATCAATGCGTGAAAATCATCGGAAACTCTATAAGTAGAAGTTTATGATATTACTTGGCCTTGGAGATGAGCTAAGGACCCAATCTAGGTAGAAAACGAATATTTGTGACTCAAATCATCTACTTAACGATGGTGATAATGACATCAATGGTCGTCAAAATTTGAGTGATTTCCAAACATTGTTTCAATGTAGACCACAATAACCATTTAACCGGTGGATCTACTAATATCATTAATTTAATTCTACTTTGCTATTATTAAATCATTTGCAGCACCAGAGTAACCATCCGAAATTCCTGTGTAATAGTAGAACTTGTGCTCAGTAGTCAACAAAGGGAAAGCAACCCAAAAAACAAGCAATAAATGAGGGCGAAAAAAAGTGTTTGTTATGATGCTATTGACAAAGATGTCATTGCCAAGTTCGGAAATTGAGGAGCTTAAGTCAAATTATGAACTTCCTTTAGTGTATAACCTTTCCCACTATCATAAAAGTAACACTTTAAAATTGATTGCCAAACCAAAACTTCAACCAGAGACCTATGTTATATCTGAATACAGTTAGAATTCCCTAGGAGGAAGAAAAACAAGCCAGATTAGCCCTAGAAACTAGAACAAGAAAGAGACAATGAAGCACAGACACAATTCAGACACCGGACACTACACCGACACGTCAACACCGGTAATAATTTGAAAAAAATGAATGAATTAAATGTAATCACAAATATCGGTGTCGCCTTTTTTCAAAGGTGTCGGTGCTACATAGTCAAAGTTCATCCTTAGTGTATTTTAACATTTTTTTAATTTTGATTAAGTTAACATGTAACTACAACACCAACACATTCAATAACCAATTCAATACTCAAATAACAAGTTCAAAGAAAAATCTAACAATTCTAATAACAAGGATGAGTTATATATACTTCTAAATCAGAACAGAACCAATCAATAAGTAGAAATTATTATAAAGAGTCTTACCTGAACCAAATTCATTGGGAAGATTCTTAAGAGCACTCAAAAGCACATTGTTTGTTCCTTCAACCTCTTTGCAGCCAGGTGTATAACAAGGAACCAAAACAGCAAAACTATCCCCGCCAGACTCATCATCATCATGATCATGATCATTATCACTGCTTTCAAAATCAGAACCAAGAGGCTCCAACCACCCAATAGACCAATCCGAGTCATCCGATTCCGAACCAGACAAGAAACACCAATCACAACTATCATCAGATGCCACATACACACCATCAAACTCTCTATCGATTCTCGTCTCTTCCCTTTTGTCCTGTCTTTTCCTTCTAACTTTCCTATGTGGCTGTGGTTGCGGAACCTCATTGTTTTCCTTCACCAAACCATGATTCCATTCCGAATTCGTTGATGGATTCTCTTTTTTCCTCCTACCACCAACACTACCCCACATGTTCCATGATAACAACGGGTTCAATGACACAGACATGCCTTCAATTTCAACCGAAAGCGAAGCTGTTTTTTGAAGGTTTGTGAATCAGTGAGGGGAAAAGCCTCTAACTTTATAGTCAATTAAAAGTTGAAATGATGAGTGGTTCCTGCCAGTTGCAGTGACACCACTGTATTAGGAAAACTATCCATGGAAAATGTGGTATAAATAATATATAAATTCAACCAAAAACAACATCATCAAAAATTATCAAAAATTTAATTAATAGAAGCATAGTCTATGAAAAAAGAAAAAGCAAAACCAAGTATTAACATTTAACAATGAAAAAGTAGGATTCAACGGTTGCAGTAAACTTTTTTTTCAAAATTTCCTTATATATCTAAATAAATTCACAAAGTTAGGCCAAATCCCAAAACCTAATTACTAATAATAGTAATTAAATAATAATAATAATTAAAAGAAAAAAAAGAAAGGAAAATTTTAACTTTGCAGAATTCCTAAACCAACTTCATCATAACTGCCAAAAAAAAATGTTTCTTCAAACACATCACATTCACAGAAACTCCCAAAAAATGCAGAGAAAATTCATTACTTTATTATTATAATAGAAAAGTTGATAGTTTTATATAATTTCAAAAATATTCAAAAATCAGTAACAACTGAACCAAAGGCTATTGTAAATTGACTCGAGACCTTTGAAGTTGGAAACTCATTCAGATTATAGAATAATCATATTACATTCTTGTTCTCGTTTCAACGGAATATCTGGAAGAAAAAAATGGCAGAATAAGGAGGGAGTGAAAGGAGAGAGTGAAAAATAGGGGGTAAGAATGTATGAAAAAGTGAGTTGAGTTTAGAACCCTAACTCGGTAACTCGTCACTCCATGGTTGTCTTCTGAGGTGTAGTGAAGAAGACACCGTCAAAACTTCTTTTTCTTTTATATTTTGTAGTGAAGACTTAGTCACCGAGGGAATAAAAAACCCTATTTACAAATTTAATAATTTAAATAAAAAACCCCATTTTTTATTAATTAAAAAATAATAAATAAATTGTTTTCTCCTATTCTATAATTTCAGTTTTAAAAAATTAAATTTTAATAAATTTAAAATTTTCTCTCTTTTTATTGGTATTTTTAAAAATATAACTAATCTCTTGTTTTGAATAATTTTAAACTAATAGAACGCAATGAAATAAAGGTAGTTGTTCTGGTCTGGACCCAGCCTCGCGTTCCAGCCCAATAACGCATAAGACCCAATAAGCGGAACAGCTTGACCAGGTGCACACCCTCCATCGGACGGGCAGGATACGCTCCCTGCCAAGCGGGACGGCGCGCCTCGAAGCGTCCTCGGCGCTCCCCTTAGCCGGACCGAACAACTTCCTCGGGCAGAATCCCCTTGCCAACGGGCATGGCGATTCGTCTTCTCCGCTCTCGTGTGCCTCCCCCCCCCCCCCCCGGGGAGAGCCACACACCGCCCGGGAATCCCACGAGCTCACCTCTGCGGGGAGAACCTCGCGCTCTTAGGGAGTCCCACGGCCTCCCCTCCGCGGGGAGAACAACGTGCCTTGTGCGCGCTCTCCACGTGCTCCCCTCTGCGGGGACACGTCACCACCAATTTCCCACCTCCGAAAGAGCAGGTCAAACCCACTTTCCGGAGACCACGGGACAGTTGGACTAGGGCGAAGACCACGTCCTGGTCTTCACTACGCCACGTAAGCCCTAGCAGTCACCTGAGTTGGGCCTGGCCATCCTGCCCAACACAAGTGACCGTTGGCCCAGCGCTGGGGTCTCTCTATGAATACCCTCTTCCCCAAGAGGGTCAGGTATTCACTTCTTACCCATTTTTCTGTACTTCGCATTCACTCTGCCCAATTCCTTATTTTGGCATCGGAGTGTCTTGCAGGTACACCCCCCTCCTCCTCCTCATCACCGGTGAACAGGTAGCAGTCCAACAACGTGTGGCCAGCCCGTGATCCCCTTCTAATCAGGTCAGATCAGTGGCGCCGTCTGTGGGAACAGAAACTTCCCCGTTACTCGGAGCAGAAAACCAAAGTTTCACCAGCACTCCACGATCATGGCTAGCCCACACCACGACGATACCATGCACGACTTTGCGCTCAACGTCGCCACCAATAGAAGCAAGCAGATGGAAACGTCACGTCCGACGGAGACCGACAAGAGAGACGGCCAGACTGCCTCACCGTCATCCGCAGAACTGCTGCGCCAGGCCGACCACCGGCCCCCGAGCCCAGCAGCGTTCCAACCCGTTCCTATCCCAACGGGAGCGGACCCAACGGTGGCCGCCCTCTTTGCGGCCATCAACCAGACAAACCAACTGCTGTTTCAGCAGAACGCACGAATTGGAGCGTTGAAGCGGGAAGGCCCTCCGAGGTCCCCTCCGCGGGAAGACTAGAATGGAGGCTCGAGGAGTCCCTCACCTCGACCTAGAAATCGCCGACCTCGACTGGAGGGACCCCGAACAGAAGTGGTGCGAGAACGCACCAGATCCCCATTGAGACAAGTTCGCGGTGTCGCTTGCGCGAAAATAAGGTGCCGGCATGACAGAAGAGTCGCCACCTTTCGTTATTTATCCCTTAGAGCGGGAAAGGAAACGATCGGAAAAACCTGACGAAAAAGGGTAAGACAAGGTCGTCGCAACCATTGTCTGGGTTCGGGAGTCGGTTACGCAAGGGGGAGGTATTAGCACCCCTCACGTCCGTCGTACTCGACGGGATCCTCGCTTGCTTGTTTACTTGGACGGGTTGGTTATAATCTATCTACCTATCAAGGCTGGCTGAAAAAGAAAAGAAAAATGACTCGGCAAAGCGTCGCACTTTATGCCTACGTATTCTCATCAGAGAATGAGAAATCAGAGTCAACGTAGTTCGGCCTAACTACGGGGGAAGATGGGGAAGGTTGCTCGCTAGGATATCGCATCCTATGCCTACGTACTTCCACACAGCATGGAAGATCAGAGCAAACGTAGTTCGGGAAACTACGGGTTATCTCCTGAAAGAAGTGTTTTTTATTGTGTTTGCGATCTCAACCGCACTAGAGACTATGACCTGAAAGGGAATGCGTCCTTTCTCAGGTAGCTTAAGGCTCGTAACGTACGAGAGAAATCATTCATGATTACTGTATTTTAAACTGTTTTGAGATGAGAAGAGAACAGGCCCAACTAGGAGGGAGACTATCAAGTCCTACTGTTGTCATGCCATGGATTCATCCTATGGTTGAGGTTTGAACAGGGAACTCCTAGATGTTGTCATGCATATGTTTCAACCTAAAAGTCTATCATCAAATCCTTATCAAAGGAAATGAGAGTCCTAAGGGATCATGTCAATGATACACCAAAGCAGACAAAAGCATCAGCTTTAACAATACAATGCATGCAATGCAAGTGAGGGAGGAAATGTGTGTGGGGCTTCAGCCTCCACAAGCTCGTCTCAACCTCAAGCCAGTCATGAAATAACAGTAATCATACTGAAAATAAACCACAGGCTATCAAGCCATATACAGATAAAAGAAATGAAGTGCCATCAGGCCAACAAAACACATGCTTGAGAAAGAATCATCTACTCTCTAATCCTAACCCTAACACAGAATCTGAATCAACTCTAAGCAAAGCCCTAAAGCAAAACCCTAAACAAGAGAAATCAATCCCAATCTTCAAGCTGCAGAACAAGCTTACCAAAGAAAGGGAGCTAAGTAAGCAGACTCATAGTGTCTTCCTCAGGAAAGCACTGGGAGGTGTATACTCAGGAATCATATCCTATGTGGCTCGACCACTGTGATCAGTTTACATTCCTCCTCAGGAGAAACTAAACTCACAAGCAGGCTCCAACATCACTGGATATTTAGGAAATCCTATCTGAACTAATGGAACTAAGTGAATAGACTCATAGGACCTTCCTCAGGAAAGTACTAGGAGGCTTCCACTTAGGAGTTGTATCCCATGTGGCTCAACAACTGCGATCAGTTTACATTCCTCCTCAGGAGAAATTAAACTCACAAGTTGGCTCCAACATCATTGGATACTTAAGAAATCCTAGATAAACTAATGGAACTAAGTGAATAGACCCATAGGACCTTCCTCAGGAAAGTACTAGGAGGCTTCCACTTAGGAGTTGTATCCCATGTGGCTCAACAACTGTGATCAGTTTACATTCCTCCTCAGGAGAAATTAAACTCACAAGTTGGCTCCAACATCATTGGATACTTAAGAAAGAGGTGAGAAGAAAGAATGAAAGTCATTCATAGTGCCTTCCTCAGGAAAGTACCATGAACTTCCCTCAAACTTCAGGATCTCAAACCTCACAGACAGGGAATAATCCAAGCTCTGGGTCTCTGAGTCTTGATCTACAATCTTCTCTTCATCATGCTCTTCAACAAGATCTTCAAAACAAACTAAGCCCCACAACAAATTCCCCACAATAAACCCCAGAGATGAACAGATAACCACAGAACAGACAAAATCATCAGTCAACTTCAGAAAATACCTAAAAATACTAAACCAAGGGGGAAAAATCTATCAATTATTCACAAGGGTCTACAACATCTATCCATAACATCCACATATGCCCCTACCCAAGAATCAAGACAAAACTCTCTAAAGAAAATGAATTATTTCACCTATGCATAACCTAAACCCTAATTAGGATACCCTAATGCTAACCTAATTAAACTAATCAAATTTTAATCTAAAAATCAAGAATTAAATCCTATGGGGAACTATGATTCAATATCTAATCACACCAAAAAGAATGAATTAAAAATCCTAAGGGAAAGTCTTAAAAGAAATTCTACAAAATTGGATATCAAACTAAACATATTAAAGAGCTATTAAAATGAAAAATATACTAAAAATATGAAAAGAAAATAAAATGGAAATTTTATTTATTTATATTTTTCTAGACAAATCCCTTAACCTATAGAAAAAACAAGGATTAAAAAATATTCATTTTTCTATTTTTCATGAATTTATTAAAGTGCAAGAAAATTAAAGGGAATTAAAAAATAAAAGAAATTAAACAAAGGGGA